AAGGTTTTGTGAATTCTTCACCACTTTCAGGGAACCAACAAAATGTAACAGCAAGTAAATGTAAGAGGAAGAACAGAGCAGAGAAGAAGAGGAGGTTTTGTGTTTTCACTGTGCTTAAACTCTTGCAGGTTTAGGTCCTTTTATAGGGGAAAAAACAACCGTTATTCATAAATCCGCAATTAATATATTTTAATTACCGATTTTAATTCTCATAAAAACCCTTTTCCGTTTTGATTATGTTTTAAATCTCATGAATATTACCGTTTCAAAATATATAGCAGATTAAGGGTCCATTAATCCGGAGCTGCATTCGTGTCCGCGCGCCACCCGACCCGACCCCGAGCTCGGCCCGACCGACGCGTGCGTGTGTGGTGTGGAGCATAACCTTTATTTTCTTCTAGGCATAGGAGAGAAAGGGAAGATTTATAAAGAACCTATCTTCTCATCTCTTTTCCAATGTGGGACTAAACTTTTCCTCTTTTCCTCTACGAACCCAAGTTTTAAGTTACAACTCCAACAATATGTTACCTACTACTTGGAGTATAACTTCGTCATGATCCCACAACATGGATTACAACCAAATAACCAATCTGCAAACCCTAACCTGATCCCTCTGATGTTTGATCTATTCTTCTCTCTCTTTTTTTAATACAATTTCAATTAGCGACAAGAGACGCATATTTATAGCGTAGAATTTCTGGTTATATGATCGAAATTACATTACAGAAGTGCACCACATTTCTTAGAAATTTTGCACATTTATTTCTACGCTTTGTTACATGCATCCCCTCTTTCCCCCGCAACAACCCCACCAACCCCACACCCCACCCAAAAAAGAAAAAGAAAAAACGAATGCTCCAGTTGAATTTTTTTTTTTTTGTAATGTATCCCTAGTAGTAAGTATTTTATTATTATAATTATAATAAAGGAATAACAAGTATAATCGTCAAAAACCATAAAGCTAATGCAATTTCTTGTATCGTATATATGCAGCTCGCCGGTCGCCACTATCATCAAAATGAATAATCTAGAGGAATTCGCTAATAATATTTTGGCAATATCATTAATAAATAAAAGAGAACGTCTTCCTCTTAGTAATTATTCGAAACTAGAAAAACTATTTTTTTTCATAAGAAACAAAAGAGAAAATATATTCTACATTATTTTCCCAGAAATATCTCAAGCCATTCTTTGATCCCATCTCATGCTTCGTTCCTTGCTGCTCTTTGGTTCCGCAATGTGAGGATTCTTGCCGCCATTAGCTTCTGAAGTAAGAAGATAGACAAATGGTAGGGAAGGCAATTTTTGCCCATGCCCATTTACTCACCTAGCCCGCCCATCAATTGGCCCGCCTAAAACCCACCCATTTACTCACCTAGCCGAAGCAGTTGCTGCTGTTGCTGCTGCTGCTGAAGCTGTGATTTTGGTTGATTCTGTAATATGTTTATACTGTTCATGCCTGAACATTTGAAAGATGGGAAATAAGTAGACTATGGTTGTGCTACTATTTTGTTTATAGACGAACTTACTACTCTTCTAGTTTATCAAGTAATTAAGTAGATTGTCCTTACTAATCGTGATCGTGTTGCTGATAGTTATGATGGCGTTTATATCAAGTTATTGATCTTATACAGATCCTTGCATACCTTGTGTTTTCTATCTTAATTCATTTAAATATACTCGCAATTTTGTTGTTATTGATCTTTTGGTTTTTGGTTTGGAAATTTGAGGTTAATTTTGCAAATGTGTGAGGTCTGTACTTTTATCCAGGCTTGTAAATGGTTCAATCATGAATTTTTCTGTATTTGTTTATCTTTGTTTATGTTCCTATCTTTGTTAGTATTTTATCAAAAGCCCCAATAAGTTTGCAAAAAGCTCCCAAAAAGTTTGCAAAAAACCCACAATAGTTTAAAAAAAACCCTAAAAGTTTACAAAAAACACCCCAAAAGTATTATACATATATATGTACTATAGTTAAATGGGCAAATGGGCGACCCGTTTATTAAATGGGCGGGCAAAAACCCGCCCATTTAAATAATGTTAAATGGGCCATAAATGGGTAAATGGGCAAAACATGCCCGCCCATTTATGGCCCGCCCATTTAAACTCATACCCACCCATTTAACATCTCTAACAAATGGTTAGTGAAGATGTTGAAGGACATATATACAAATCCTTTCCAATTAGGTAGTATCCAAAAAGATCACGTGGTAGGGGTGAGCAAACAATCCAATCAGTTTTTACATATTTTGATAAAACCGAATCGAACTGTAATATATTTGAACCTGAACATAACCAATCGAAATCAATTCGGTCAGTTCAGTTAGCTTCATTTGGTTGGACTTGGACTAATTTAATTAAGGAAAAAGTCTATTTTGGCCCAAAAATGAAAGATGAATATAAGAAAATCAGTGACGGATAAATTAGTACTTCTCCCTGATACATATAGTGAATTTTTTGTATTGTTACCCTGTGGACGTAGGTCGAAGTTAGTCGACCGAACGATGTAATATTATATGATTAGAGACGCTCCTCCTGAGATCGATGCGAGCAAGGAAATACCCAAATAAAATTAGAGCCCAATTCACCAAATCTATCACCGATCATCACAAGGAATCAACCACCAGAGCCCCCTGAATTCATTCTTATCGACAAAAACTGACAACTTCAGCGAATTTTTAAAAGAAAGAGACAAGCAGAAAAACAACAGAATCTAAAGTAATTAAGCGGGGATATGGATCAAAAAGCACCAGGACTATCTAGAGCCTCGATTATATTCGAAAAATAATAGTCAAAAGAAGAGAAAAAAGCTCTTACAATTATTTTCGATCGTGGGTTTGGAGGTCGTTCTCACTGAATTTGGCGCTATCTTTGAAGGAAAGATACCCCTTTGATGATTTAACAAGTTTTTCTTCGTGTGCTATATTTGATGAACAACTTCATATAAATGAACAAAACCAACAAAACTAGCATACAATTAAAACATAAACTAGAGCCTATTCATCCTAAAATCATCAAAATCACGAAGATTATGCACCAAGATGCAATTTTTCTTCTTTTATCAGGTAATTGATCCAGAAAATATTTTATAGATCAAATCAAAAAAATGTAAAATGAGATTAGGAAGACAATACCTCAAGATATCTGATTGCAATCAATGCCAATCACAAAGAAATGTAAAATGAGATTAGGAAGACAATACCTCAAGATATCTGATTGCAATCAATGCCAATCACAAAGAATCGAGTGGAGATCCAGCAGAGTTTGGTGCTGAGATTGCAATCAATGCCAATCACAAAGAATCGAGTGGAGATCCAGCAGAGTTTGGTGCTGAGATCGAGCCTGAGATCAAGCTGAGATCGGAGGTGGAGGAGCTCAGCCTGGAACTCCTCAAGTAATGAGGCCGAGATTGAGCAAAGATCCACCTTCTTCTTCAAGAAACTTAACTCACCAGTAGCACGCAAGATCAAGCACGATTAAAGGAAAAACTCTAGATACGATGGAAAATAATCAAAATTATTGAGAAAGAGAAGTAAAGAACATGAAACGAGAGATCTAGACAGAGGAGAATCCTAAAATAAGGGATCGAGTGGAGAGGAGAGAATGAAGGAAGCGGAGCTCACCTTGGTAACGGAGGCAGCGTCGGGTCCGAGAGGCGGTTGAGGCGGAGGAGGAGGAGGCGGAGGAGGCGGAGGAGGGATTGGGGTCGGGATTGAGGCGGAGGAGAGGCTGGAGAGCTCAGTTGCGGTTGGGGACGGGATTGGGGTTTTAGGGTTTCGGTTTGGGGAATAAGGGCGGGCGAGCAAACGGGTGAGTATAGACCGCCTATTTAGCGCCCGTTCGGTATTATTTAAAATGGGTCCGCCCGATTAGGCCCATTTAACTAAATGAGTGGGTTTTGGGTGGGCCAATTAATGGGTGGGTCGGGCAGATAAATGGGTATGGGTTAAAATTAACATCCCTATTCGAGACACACTGTACACATCCCTTACTTATTGTCCGCTACCTGCCATTTGAAGAGGGACCAAGAATGACGGGGGTGACGAATATGGAAATGAGCTTCCAATGATGGATTGAGGAGTGACGATAAAGTCAGCCATGGCAGGGGTTATTTGATGATCATCATGGATACAGAGGCGAAGCTAGAAATTTTACCTTGGGCCCCAAAAATCTAAGGTTGATAAGGTGTTTTCTCATTTGTTTCCATCAAAATAAATAAAATAAAATATTAAAAACAAAAAAATAGAGAGAGATCCAACAAAAGTGAACTAGGATATTAAATTCTCTTATGCTATCATAAAATTTGAAAAAGCAAAAACAAATTTCTCCTTCTCCAAGAGCAAAAGAGTCAAAAAGAAAAAAAAACATAAAATTAATTAAGAGAAATCCCTCAAACGTCTGTTTGCATAATTGATCTACAAGATTAAAAACAATCCGCAAATAGCCCTTTATGAATTTTAACTCTTCTGTTTAAGTTATCAGCCGTAAGCATAAGAAGTTCTTACAGCACATTTCATCATCTAAATCTGCTTCAAAAATTGCTAAAAAAGGTACGAAACTTAATTCTTCTTCTTCTACTTCGGTCATGTTTCCTTTAAATGCTATGACTAATGATGTTCTAGAGGAGATTGCGACAAATTGTGGAGTTAATTTTCATGAGAGCTCCATAGCAAATCTAAAGGCTAAAGAAGTTGATAAAGTAGCATCATGTTGCTAACTAACTGTGTTAGTAGCTCTTTCCTTGAGGTTTTATTCATTTGTCAATGAAGTTTGCATCATGGAATGTGCGTGGTCTAAATGACCCTAATAAACGGAGTCTAGTCAAAGATTTTATTTTTCGTTCTGCTATTGACGTCATTGGTCTTCAAGAGAGTAAACTCTGTAAGCCATCTGCAAGGAAGCTTAGCTCTATAGGTGGGAATAAAATTTCAAATTGGTGTATCTTAGACTCCTCTGAATCCAGGGGGGGTGTGATTATTGGTTGATCTAATTCTTTCACCATGATAAGATCGTATGTTGGTATCTTCTCTGTCTCAGTTCTTTTGACTCATAATCCATCAAATTGGACTTTCACCTTTACCTCTGTTTATGCTCCTATTGATAGAGAAGATAAAGCTGTTTGTTGGTGGGAACTTTCCAGATTACGACAAATTTTTGAGGGTCCTTGGGTTATTTGTGGGGATTTTAATGCTACATTATCATCTGAAGAAAGGAATGGCAGAAAAGGCTCTATAAAGGACATCAATTCCTTCAAATCTTTTGTTTCTTCTAACTATCTTATTGATCTGCCTCTCTCTGGTCGTTCTTTCACTTGGTCCAATAATCGTCAGGATCCTGCGTTAGCCAGATTAGACAGATTTCTGGTTTGTGCAGAATGGGATAAAAATCATCCTTTAAGTTTGCAATTCTCACCTCCCTCTGTTGGCTCTGACCATTTTCCTATCATTCTGGATAGTAGAGGCATAAAACCAAATACTCCTATGTTCAAGTTTGAAAAAAGTTGGTTTCATAACATCACTTTTGTTCCTTTTATTGAAACTTCCTGGAAATCGTTTAGTTGTCAAGGGACCCCAGTGGATAAATTCATTACTAAACTTAAGCTTCTAAAAAGAAGAATTAAGTGGTGGAGAAAGAATGTTCATGAATCCATCTCTTCTAGAAAAAATACTCTGTTATCTAAAATCCATTCTATTGATCTTATTGAAGAGCAAAGATCTTTATCCCCTACAGAATTAGATGAGAGGAAAGCTTTTCAATCTTCTTTTGCTTCTATCATCCAAGAAGAAGAATCTTATTGGCATCAAAGATCTCGTATTCAATGGTTGAAAGAAGGTGATACTAATACATCCTTTTTTCATAGAACAGCATCCACTCATAAAAGATCAAATCACATTGTTGCTATTAATCACATGGGTTCTGAAATTGCTGACAAAGGGGAAATATCTAAAGTTTTTTATGACTTTTACCACAATCTTTTTGGACAAGAAAACAATAGCAACATGTCAGTTAACTGGAATTTCTTGTATCCTTCCAAAAATCAGAATCTTTGAGCTCTAGATGCAGATTTTACAGATGAAGAGATTAAGCAAGCAGTTTTCAGTATGAATCCTAATAAATCTCCAGGTCCCGATGGCTTCTCTTTGCTCTTCTACTAATCTTTCTGGGATCTTTTACATCATGATATCGTTGATCTCATGAATTGGTTTTCTAAAAATCCTTCATCTCTACATAGGGTGAATAGAGTTCTTATCACTCTTATCCCTAAAATTAAAGGAAATCCATCAGTTAAAGACTTTCGGCCAATCTGTCTTATCAACTGCATCTTCAAAATCTTCACAAAAATTTTATCTAACAGATTAGCTCCATATATGAATGACTTGGTTGCTCCTACACAATCAGCTTTCCAATCTGGAAAATCAACTCTTGACTCTATAGCTGTTGCAAATGAAATGATTCATTTTTGTTCTAAAAGGAAGAAGGATGTGGCCATGGTCAAGATTGATTTTGCAAAAGCTTTTGATTCTATTAACTGGAACTTCCTTATTAATTTACTTAAAGTTCGAGGTTTTGGTCAAAAATGGTGTTAATGGATCTACAATATTATTTCTACATCAAACTGTGCTGTCCTTGTCAATGGATCCCCCTCAAAATATTTCAAATGCAAAAGAGGGCTGAAACAAGGAGACCCTTTATCTCCTTTGCTTTTTAATATCGTTGTTGATGTCTTGTGCAAGATGATCAGACACAATGTGGAAGAGGGTTTATTATCCAACCTTGGAATTAAGGAACCTCTCAACCAAATTAGGAGCCTCCAATTTGCAGACGATACTCTTCTTTTTGTCAAAAGTACCAAGAATGACATATCCATTCTAAAGGCAATTTTATATATTTTTGAAGATATCTCAGGATTGGGTATTAATTTCTCCAAATCTTCTCTTATTTACTTCGGTAATTTGCATAATAGAGGACAAACTCTTGCTGCTGCCATGAATTGCAACCTTGATCATCTTCCTATTAAATATTTAGGATTGCCTCTAAAGTATGGTAAATTAGCAAAATCTGATTGGCAACCTATGTTGGATAATATGTATAGGAAACTTGCTTCTTGGAAAAGTTCTTGTTTATCCTTTGGTGGTAGACTTGTTTTGCTCAACTCGGTTCTTTCATCTATTCTTTTATATTATATGTCTTTCTACAAATTACCATCATGGGTGATTAAAGAAGTGGATAAAATTAGAAAGAATTTCCTATGGACTGGCAAAAATATTTCAAGACCTTTCAAGTGCTTAGCAAATTGGAAGACAGTGTGTCTAAGTAAATTTGAGGGAGGATTGGGTGTGAAGGACCTCAAAATTTTTAATAATGCTCTTTTATCTAAATGGTTATGGAAATGTCTTGATAGAGACTCTTTAACTAGAACTCTCTTACATCAACTTTATATCAGAAGAGATTCTCAGTTGCAATCATCTTCCTGCAGTTCTGCAAATTCTAAGTTTTGGAATGATATCATATCAATCAAAGACTTATTTCTACATCTTCTACAATGGTCTCTTGGTTCTGGTGACAAAATTAGATTTTGGGAAGATAAATGGACTGGTAGTAACACCTTATCAAGTCTATATCCGATTTTATATAAACTATCACTGTCTACAAATGTCAGCATCTGGTAGTAACACCTTATCAAGTCTATATCCGATTTTATATAAACTATCACTGTCTACAAATGTCAGCATTCGTTCTCAGGGTTTTTTCCATAATCATATATGGCGCTGGCATCCTCTTCTTAAGAGAAGCATCTCTGATTCTTCATCCTCTGCAAAGATTGATCTTATGAATCATATTGGTTTACACATTGTTACTAACAATGTTGACTTACCCACCTGGTCCCTTACATCCAATGGGAGATTCTCGGTCAAATCCCATTATTCTTCCCTTAACTCCAGAGGAATTTTGTATGCTTATTATAAAACTGTTTGGAATCCAGTAATACCAAGTAAATTCCAGTTTTTCACATGGCTTTTATCTATTAACAGGTTGCATACAAAAGAAAATCTTATAAAGAAAGGATGGCAAGGGGATTCTACATGCATTTTATGTGATATATATTCTGAATCTTGTGAACACTTGTTCTTTGAATGCAGTTTTACCAAATCAGTATGGAAACATTTTTGTGAGTACTACCTTCCTTTCATATGGCCAACATCTTTATACGAACTCCTCAAGTCTGTTGAATCTCTTCGTTACTCTGATGGGGCTTTATGGAGATCAATTTTCACTGCAGTGTGTTGGAGCTTATGGACATCAAGAAATAAATTTATTTTTGAAAATTCTTTATTCTCTGCTACTTCTGTCATCAACTCAGCGATTTCTAATTTACATGAATGGTCAGGTTCTGGAAGAGGGAAGAAAGCACTTAAGCTAGCAGCGGTTTTAGAAGAAAGACCAATCTTGCGGAGCAACAGTATTTAGTTAATCATATCAGCTCTCTCTTAGTAGTTCTAATGTCTTTTGTACATATAAACATTATGGTGTTTTGATGTTATGTTGTTAGTTTTAATTAGTCTATAGAAAATTTAATTTCTCTTGTCCAAATGTATGGCTGGCTTTGGTTCTTACTTACATTAGTAGAAAATGAAATATCCCAGACGGAATATCCCAGACGGAAAATTTTCCGTCTGGGATAATCCATACTAGACGGAATTAAACCGTCGATGAATTTCCGTCTACAAAAAACTATTATAGACGGAAATTTCCGTCTAGAAAAAGTATTGCAGACGGAAATATATTTAAATATTTTTTTTTGAATTTTTACTGATTATCCTAGACGGAAATTTCCGTCTAGGATTATCCTAGACGGAAATTTCCGTCTAGGATAATCAGTTCAATTTTCGCCATGGGTTGAGTTGTTGAGTTTGAGAGATGAAACCGACCCGACCCGTTTTCAGAATAAAATGAAAAGGCAAGCCCTAACCTTCGTGAATCCAGATCTGAAAACCCTAGACTTCCTCTCCGGCGGCTATTCTTCCTCTCTCGCCTTCGTGAATCTCCAGCGACTTCGTGAATCCTCAACTTCCTCTCTCGCCTGGACTTCGTGAATCCCCAGCGAATCGCCTCGACTTCGTGACTCGCCAGCGAATCGCCTCGACTTTGTGAATCTCTAGCGAACCCTAAACCTCGACTTCGTGAATCCCCAGGAATTCCTCTCTCGCCTTCGTGAATCTGCAGAGAACCTCGCCTCGACTTCGTGAACCCCGTGCGGTCTCGCCTTCGTGAATCTCCAGCGAACCACGCTCGCCTCGCCCTCGAACATGTATCATTCATCTCTTCGTGAATCTCTGGCGGCTATTCTAAGTTTATATTTGTTGTTCTCTTCTAGCCTTGGTCTCTGGCTGTGGTTTTCTATTTTTTTAAGTTGCTTTTTGTTGTTTTTTGAACCGATATTATCTTCTTGTGACTTGTGAGACTTGTTGTGCAGAAATTTCGTGAATTATCTACTCAAACAGGTATCTTTTTTCTTTTTTTAGTCTTATAGAATTTCTGTTGTGAGACTGTATTACTGTGATTAATTGTTGTGAAACTATAATTAATTGTTGTGAGACTTATTGTTTATAGAAAAATTGTAATTAATTTTAAGAAAATACTTGTGAGACTGTATAAGCAAATTTAATTGTAATTACAATTAATTTTGAGCAATTAGTTTTTACTTGAGCAATTAATTTTGAGTATTGTTGTGAGACTTATTCTGTTGTGAGACTTGTTTGTTGTTTATAGAAAACTTGTAATTAATTTTAAGAAAATATTTGTGAGGCTGTATAAGAAAATTTAGTTGTAATTACAATTAATTTACAACTAAAATAAATATACAACTTGGATCTGCAAATAGTTTACAATTGCTATTTTAACTTGTCTTCCTCAGTTCCTTACTTCATTCCTTGAAATCTTGATGTCATTTTGATCTCAAGTCTGCAACAAAATAGAACAAGTCAGTGTTAGGCATAAAATTTTATGACGTGATGAAATAAATAACATTATGGTTTCATCGTGCGGTCGAGATGCAAGTTTCGCTTTCAACAATTGGTTAGTGATTCTAAACATGATTAGATTACATTTTTTAGTTATTATATTATATATACACCATCCACTATATCACTCCGATAAATACTACTTATCCCCGATATATCCCCGATTTCCGCTATCCGATAAGGATTTTGACCGTCCGATAAATCCCCGATAATCGATATTTAAAACCTTGTGCCTGAGGTCAATGTTTCACTATTGTGACTTAGATGGTTATATGCAAATTCAAATCTGTTGGACTCAATTGAATATATGTATGCCTGAGGTCAATGTTTCACTATTAGGCCAAATTTTAACTGAAGCAGTAGACGTTTGCTGAAAACTTGTTTTTTATTTGTTTTTAGGTGTACAAGTTGGTATAATGGCTTTGAATTAGATAACTATTAATTGAACTTAACATATATTCTATTAAATCTTCTTGATATATTTGCAAATTGTTTGTAGATTCATGGGTTGCATATGATTTTGATGTTTATAAGTAGCCATGGGTGTATATCATTTTGCATCTATGCATAAAGTAACTTTTTTTGTTTATTCTATACCATTACAGGCCCATCTGATTATGTTGAATTTATTTTGTGAATTAGATACATTCAGGCCCATCAAATTCATTTCCATTGCATATTATATGATACCTCCTCCTCATTGGCAACTTCTATTTCTGTTATCTTGTTTAGCTAGTTAAGCCCTCAAGGCTCTCATGTTTATCATACAGTTTGTGATTTGAATTGTACAAATATGATTATATAGGCTTGTGATTTGAAAATGTGAGTTTGGAAGAAAAGGTTTTAAAAAAATAGAGTGATATATAACGCAATATTATATAATAATGTGTTATATATCCAATTTAGGTAAAAAATATAACGTTAACCCTAGACTCCCGTCCAATAATTACAGCCAATTCTTTAAGGTTATAATATTAGATGAACGAGTCAAATTTGGGTAAGAGGTAAATTTTCCTACTCGAAATTGATCGTTCACTTTATATTTATAATAGAAATGAATTGGTATAAAAATTTGTAATTATTGGATCTGTCCTTCTCGGACGGGTTAGGAATATAATAGTGCATACATCCAACTTTGTATACTTTGTAAAATCTGATCAACGATATAGGGATGGATGTAAGCACTATTATATTCTTAATGGATAGAAGCCTTCCTATGACAGCCGTTAGAGTGTGCTAATTAGTCTGCATACCTTAATAAGTTTCAAACATACCTTAATGCCGATACTTAAATGCAACAACACTTAAGAGGAATAGTTTAAAATTTATGGGTATACTATCTATTCTCAAATATTTTTCTAAATATATATTACCTACAGATGAGGAAACTTCCTGACAAGTCATGGATAGATATCCCTAGGAGTGAACGGTTTCGTGATCAACGATATAGGGATGGATGTGAAGCCTTCATGAAGTATGCCGAAATGAACCCAAAAAATTTAAGTAGCGGTGCAATGTACTGTCCCTGTTATAGGTGTAAGAATATAAAGCTGAAGAATAAAGATGAAATACGAAGTCACTTAGCAAACTCTGGTTTTTACGAGGAATATAAATATTGGTCCTATCACGGGGAAGGCTGTACCGAAGATGAAGTCCCGGATGTGCATGTCGATACCAGTCATGGTGTCAGGATAGATGATACAGACGTAAATTTACAGACTGATATTGGACCTGACCATACCGAATATGATATTAACAATGACAATGAAGATGATATCATAGTTGATGTCCAAGACGCTCATGCTCCTGAGGACTTGGATCGTATAATGAAACTACTAGAAGATAGTGAAAAGGATTTGTATGAGGGTTGCACCGAGTTCTCCAGATTTTCATTTATGTTGGAGCTCTTACATATTAAGATCCTCAGTGGAATGGCAAATACTTATTTCGAAATGCTTCTTGATTTACTACGGAAGGAAGTTCCATGAGGAGAGCGTAGCATTCCTAAAACAACTTATGCGGCAAAGCAAATAGTTTCCGATTTGGGGCTTGATTATAATAAGATTGATGCGTGTCCCAATGATTGTATTCTCTACTACAAGGATAATAAAGACCTTCAGGTCCAAGAGGAGAGCGTAGCATTCCTAAAACAACTTATGCGGCTAAGCAAATTGTTTCCGATTTGGGACTTGATTACAATAAGATTGATGCGTGTCCCAATGATTGTATTCTCTACTATAAGGATAATAAAGAACTTCAGGAATGTCCAACATGTGGAGTATCTCGATGGAAACAACGCACCCGCTCTTCAACAAGGCGGACAACAGAGTCAGTGTACATGCAGAGCAAGATTCCAGCTAAGGTGCTTCGCCATTTTCCATTAGTTTCTAGATTGCAACGTCTGTATATGAACAAAGACACCGCTAAGAACATGAGGTGGCACAAAGAAGTCCGTATAGATGATGGTAAGCTGAGACATCCAGCTGATGCAGAGGCTTGGAAGCATATTGATAAGACTTTTCCTAATTTCGCTCGTGAATGCAGAAATGTCAGACTTGGGCTTTCTAGCGACGGATTCAATCCGTTCGGGGTTATGAGTTCAGGTTGGTCTACATGGCCAGTTGTCTTAATGCCATATAATTTACCCCCACTGCTTTGTATGAAACAACCGTATATGATACTCTCATTACTGATACCGGGTAAGCATGCACCGGGTAATGATATTGATGTCTACTTAGAGCCCTTAATTGATGAGCTAAAACAGTTATGGTCGGAGGGTATGTTGATATATGATGCCCATGCTAAAGAGTCATTTAGACTTCGTGCTATCCTAATGTGGACAATTAATGATTTTCCAGCTTATGCTAATCTTTCTGGTTGGTCGACAAAAGGCAAGTTTGCTTGTCCAGTATGTGGCCCAGAATTTGAAGGCCTTCACTTACCATATAGTCGAAAATGTTGTTATTGGTTCAACAGGAGATGGTTGCCCTCGGGGCACAAATACAGAAAATTGAGCAATAAATTCGACGGCACTGTTGAGACTAGGAATAAACCACGTCAAATGACCGGTGCTGATAAAAGTTGCTTGAGCATTTACCTAAAATTAGATTTGGTAAGAACCGATATTCTAAGTATGACTCACTCAAAGCTAGAGGCGCCTGCAAAAAGAAAAAGACACTGAAGAGGAAGAGAGCATTCCAACGGGCGCATGCAAAGGAGATTTAATATAAATTACCAAAGGGATGGAGTAAATTCAGTATCTTCTTCCAGCTGCCATACTGGCAAAAGCTTAAAATCAGGCATAACTTGGATGTCATGCATATTGAGAAAAATGTTTGTGACAACATAGTTTCAACCCTCCTTCAAGATCCTAATAAGTCAAAGGATGACCTAAGGGCTCGTCAAGACTTAGCTGCATTGAATATCCGAGAAGATTTGCAAGCACAA